TATATATATATATATATATATATATATATATGAATTATTTGGTATTTTTTTCTTTCAGAGGAGAAACTGGACTCCTCAGGCAGTCTTGTATCTTAAAGGCGCACGTAAGGCAAACATTTATAGCAAAAAAAAAAAAAAAAAAGAACGTAGGCAGTCTGAAACTGTTTTGTTGCTGAGGACAAAATGTTGACACTTTGCAGAGGGACACCGCTCAACCCTGCTGGAGCGCAGCAGCAGAGAAGAAGGGGATGCTTTACAATTAGGTGCGTCTCACATTTATTTATTTATTCATTCATCTTTTTCTTTATGCCGTTAATGTTGGAATTGTACACCGACACCAAAAGCAATTATTTCAGGAGGGCAATGTGTATGGAGCATTTCTTGAAATTTAGTTTGGATACCAAATAATAAAAAGAAATGACATCTTTAAATCCATATTTTCAAGCACTACAGACCCACTCAATGTATGTTAGAACAGGCTCCTTTAACCACTTCAAAATGTTAAAATACTGAAAATCTTGATTTAAACATGTGATCCTGGTATGATTTGAGGATCTGGATGGGAGTGAGTAATAGACATAGAAAAAAAAGAGTGCATACTAATACAAATAAATTAATAAATGTTTTGATTCATCGATGTTTTTCAAAACCTCTCCTAAATTCATGCATAAAAAAATATTATGCATCCAAGGCCAGAGGGAAGGCGACAACCAGCTCCTGTAAATTTTATTATGCTAAACATTTTTCTAATGTTCCAAACGTTTCTCTTTTGTTCCTCTCAAGTGAACTTTAATCAGATCAGCGATGGGCCGGGATTGTCTTCAGCTTCCGTCGAGCTCCTGCAACAAGCTGCAGAAGAAGGCGAGCCTGCGCTTCACTTACATGTTTTATAACCTGCTTAGAAGCTAAAATCTCTTCGTCCTTCTTCAGGTGGAGGCAGACATCTTCACCGAGAGTGGAGCTTCAAACATCTCTGATTACTTTTTGCCTGGTCCAGTTGTCGTACTTGCTGTTGGATATTTGAACTCCAAAATGTCATTGTTGGTATGAATGGATAATCTGCAGCAAAGAACTCTTAAATAAACTTCATTGTTCTGAAAATGTAAATTGATTATGACTGACTTCATTCTAATGTGCTGTGATGTTTGCTGGCAGAAAATGTACTTTGGTTCCTCTTTCATTGTGCTTTTTAAGCAAAGTTTAGAAATTGTTTTCAGTATGTTCCTGGTATTGGTAAGTTGGGAAAGGAACATTTGAAACAAATGTAGCTTTTCAAACTTTATTCTTTACATGTTATGTCCTTCCTTTCGTTTTTGTTTCCTCCCTTCTTTCCTATCCTGTCAATTAAACCTGTCAACTATTAAGACGCTGAGTGAACATCAGCAGCTTGCAGTCAAACATCACCACCCTGTCATCACTGAAGGTGCCATGTGGGGGTCAGACATGATGCTCTTAACTCACATTAAGACACGGTGACGTGTTTCTGCAGCACTGTAATCATAACAGAGTATATTTAATGTGTACCAGTGAATAAGTGAAGCCACACCCCAGTAAACCTTCTTTATTTTGCATCAAAGCAACGCTTTGTGGTTCCGAGCATGTACATCAAGACATTTCCCTCTGTTTTTTCCACCTTTGATCTCCTCACGAACATTTATAGATGTTCAAAATGACACCTACGGCTAAATATGATAAGAATCTACAGGAAGAAGTGAGTGAGGCGAAGCAAGTGGAACCGAATGGTTTTCAGTGACTGCAGAGTGAAGAGCAACCGAACCGAGGAGATGCTTCTGCATCGCCCCCTTGTGGTGGGTTAGATGTCCCGCAGGTCCCTCTGGATGTCCCACAGCGTGTTGGCGCTGGCCTGCAGCTGGGCCACCTCTTCATCCGTCAGGGTCATGTTGACCACACTGGCCACGCCTCCGCTGTTCAGCACGCAGGGCAGACTCAGGTACACCTCGTCGCTGATCCCATACATGCCCTGTTGAGGCAGAAACATGAAAGTCAAAAACCAAGTCACAAGGATTCCTGATTACATCCTGTTGCAGTGGTAGGAAAAACCAATCAATTAATCAATCAATCAAAAAAAAGAAAAATATTTAGCTTAATATGGTGCTTTCACATCACTTGAACATTAAAGAAAAGGTTTGTCACTTTACAACCACAAAATAAGGCTAGATAGCTGGACAGACAGATAATTTCCTGAATTAGATATCTATTTTTCTTATAAACCGAGAAGCTGATCAAATCCAACTTGATTATAAGGCAGAGAGCATTAACATTTCTGAAAGGCTGTTATGGGAAGTAGAAGTCAAGTACAAGTTACTTATGAATGAGTGAGTGAATGAATGCATGCATTTATGCTTCACCTGCACCATGGTGGAGACCGGATGGATTCTGTTCATGTTCCTCATGAGGCTCTCGGTTAAGTCGGCCACACTCAGACCGATGGCCCAGTTGGTGTAACCCTTCAGCTTGATCACCTCATACGCGCTTAAAGACACAGAAATGCACAGAAATACATGCAGTAAAAGATTTCACTAAATAACGTCTGGACCTAGTTCTGCTGAGACTTTAAATTTAGCTCATTTTAATGTCAAATTATAAAACAAACCCCATGTAAAGCACATTTTCTCTTGTAAAGGCATCTTTGGGGATGTATTGTGTTTTAGGGAAGATGTACACCAACACTGCTTTCTATTTATGTGAAAACAATTATCAGCCCACGCTGGAGTGAGCAGAGAAAATGGTTCCATAAGCGGAAACGTCTGGGCTCGGAGTCTTGCCCCAAAATTAAACAGCTACAAAAATGACAATGACACATTTACTAATGCTCTCAAAATGACTGCTGCCATGGTTGTTGGTCAGAGTTTCTACCATCATTTAGTAAATTACCCACTTTCTGTTTTTCAGGGGCGTATTTATGACATCATACAGGCATATTCTTAAAAACGGGAAAGATGGGAGAGCATGGCATTCAGGCAATTCAGATGTGTCTTTATGAAAGACAGAGAAAGAAAACAGCCACATATCGACAGCTAAATAAGGTAACGGACCTAAATATCTACATATTTTTTATATGTATTCCCCTCCTGTGTAAATCATCAGATAAATATGTTGTTCTTTAGAATATTTTAATGTAAAACCAAACGACAGATGGACCAAACAAAGGTAGCGGCTCCCCAGGTGCTTACCTATCCACCACCATCTTATGAGTTTCTTTCCAGTTCTCTTCATCAAAGTCTGTGCCGATGTTGGGGTTCAGTGTCTGCAGGTTGACTCCGGCCACATTCGTCCCGCTCCATACAGGCACTAACATGCACATTGTGAGGTTCTGATGAGGCAGAAAGTTCAAAGTGCCAGCATATATCTAGGCAAAAACAAACAAATTCCTCACCACTGGTGTCTCCGTGTTCTCCCAGGATCCACCCGTTGAAGCTGCTGGAGTGGATGCCAAGTTTGTCCGCCATCAGGAAGCGGAAGCGGGCCGAGTCCAAGTTGGTGCCGCTGCCGATGACGCGGTGCTTCGGAAGGCCACTCAGTTTCCAGGTCACGTAGGTCAGAACGTCGACTGTTAAAAAAAGCATTTTAGCGGTATTTAAAATTAATATTGCAGCCTTTATATGGAAGAGGAAAAGCGGAGTTTTATATAGAGGAAGGGTTGGACATGCCCGGGTTGGAAACAACAATGATGATGCAGTCGGGGCTGTATCGTACAATCTGAGGGATGATGTGCTTGAATATGTTGACGTTCCTCTGAACGAGGTTCAGCCTACTCTCTCCCTCCTGCTGACGGACTCCGGCTGTGACGACAACGATGCGGGAGTTTGCTGTAACTGAGTAATCTGAAAAAGAAATAGAGCGGTCAACAAGTTGTGATGGGGGAAAAAAAAAAAAGAACTTTACAGTTTAAGATGCCAGTCTAAATTTACATCTATGAATAACAGATGATAATTTCTCTAAAGTGCAGTCTTGTCGACATTACAAGACAAACGGTGATTTCTCACATCTGTTCAGTCGCTGCTTCACCCCTCCACTGTTCAAATGTTTAGTCATCACTTCTTAATGAGTCTTGATGAATCATTAATAAACTTAATGAGCTGGTTTGGGCTAAATGTTGCTGTCAACAGAGTGAAGAGCAAAGGACTGAGCACACATCCCTGAGGATCTCCTTTTCCCACTTTATTATTGAGTAATGTCTTACTTGCACTTTTTGTTTGATGCTTGTCTTAAATTTTGATTTATATTTTCAGTATCAGCTGGAATATAATGTTCCATGTTAATAATTGGGCTACACAGTGCCACAGTAGGTAGAGCTGTTGCCTTGCAGCAAGAAGGGTCTTTCTGCATGGAGTTTGCATGTTCTCCCTGTGCATGCGTGAGTTTTCTCCAGGTACTCCGGTTTCCTCCCACAGTCTAAAAACATGACTGTCAGGTCAACTGGCCTCTCCAAATTGCCCCTAGGTGTGAGTGTGTGTGTGCATGGTTGTTTGTCCTGTGTGTCTCTGTGTTGCCCTGCGACAGACTGGCGACCTGTCCAGGGTGAACCCCGCCTCTCGCCCGGAACGTTAACTGGAGCTAGACACCAGCAACCCCTCCTGAACCACCAAGAGACAAGGGTGTAAAGAAAATGGATGGATGGATGTTAATAGTTGTTGGAATAGAAACAGATTTACCTTTGTCTGCGACTATTTTGGGGGTTTTGAGGAACAGGCTGCCGTGCTGCAGGTCCATCATCTCTCCCTTCAGCTTGTCCTCCACCACATCCACCAGGGCCAGCTCATCAGCCAGCTCCTGCGACACACCGAGTTCAAGCAATTTCTTTCAAAGCTCCAACATTTAGCGTTCTCCTGTAGCACGAATAGATGGCAACCTGCAGCTGTTTATGCTGTATCCCTCGCATGTTTTGTCACATTCCAGCCACAGAGTTCAATGTGTTTTATTGGGATTTTATGAGACAGAAAAACAGAAAATAGTGTATAACTTGGAATTGGAAAGGAAGTGTATTATGCACTTTTATTTGACCCTCATTATTCTGAATACTCAAACTAAAACACTCAGCACAGCCAACAAAACTCTAAGTCTCCATTTAAGAGTAGCAAAAAGATGATAAATGGCCTGGATGATAAATGGCATTATTTTATGCTATAATTGGTACTACACAGAATGTACCATGTTCACAGTGAGGCATGGTGGTGTAACCATCATGCTGAGGAGATGCTTTTCCTCCAAATTATAACTGAAGCTGACGGGAAGATAGGTGCAGCTAAATAGAGGGCAATTCTGGAAGAAAACCTGTCAGAGGCTAGAAATAAATTGAGATTTATCTTGAATCACAACAATGATCCCAATCATTCAGCTGGAGCCGCAGTGGAATTGTGAAAACTGATGTTTGCTGACATTCTCCCCCAAAATATACAACTACAAATGCAGGGAAAGGTGGTTCTGCAAATGAGCTATTCAGGTGGGGAAATGCAGGCCACACTTTTCAGATTTATTTGTGAAAAATGACTCAGGCCTTTGATTATTTTCCTTCTAATTCACAATTATGCCCTAGTTTATTTCACAGAAAATCCCACCGAGTTCTAACTTAAGTTGTACCAAACATATATATATATGTAAAAAGCATCGCTATGTTTGAATCCTTTGGTAAGCCACTGTAGTTTTTGATAATAGAAATATGCTACTCTACTACTTCCTTGAATCTAGATGCTTTAGACAAACCTTCCTCAGACTCAGCTTCCAAAACTATCGTGAGAAAAAAGTTATATTTAAGCATTTCATTTTGGGGTCACAGTTTTTGCTCTACAGCTATATATAGGGCATAGCTGTCCTATTTGCGAAAACAGTCTGACATGTTTCAGTAGTAAGAGCGTGCAAGCCACCTCCTTTCATGACAATTGGAGACAGAGGGGATAAGATCAAGATCAGAGGCCAAGAGATCAGTAATCTGTTGTCAATCCAGGAGAATCCAGGGGAATTATCTTGTGCTGTGGCAGAAGCAGGTGGGGAGGGGATGTTGTGCAAAAGGCAAAAAGAGTGGACATCTTACCCTGAGCAGGATACTGACGGCACAGGCCATGCCGACCTGACCCACACCCACTACCGTCACTTTGTTCCTGGGGGGCTCAGGAGTGCCGGTGAACAGCGGGGTGATCAGCTTTTGCAGGACTGAAGCCATTCTCAGTGCTGAAACGTGTTAACGAAACAAAATGAAACATTTTACGGTCAAATGACGGCCAAACATCAACCGTTTCAAAGAGACGCGACGTGCTCTGCCAGCTAAACTTCACAAATACTGCAGTCCATCAAAGTGCAGCAGGATCAAGAATTAAATGTGGCAGTTATCTCATCATTCCCCCCCTTTTTTTTTGTTCGTCTAAATCCCATAATCCACCACTAGAAACCACACTTCCTGAGCTCTGTCCCGCACATGATTTGTCAGCAGAGTTCACCTTGAAACGACACGCAGTCAGACACAGAAAGAGCAGCAATAATACTTGCTTTGTTCGGCGAAGCTCCGAGCTGCTAGGTATAAATACCACCATGTAATCAGCATGGCAGACTGGTGGGGACACCTAAGGCGTGCTTCCCTTAGAGCTGCATCAACGACAGTCCCCACGGTGGTGGCTGTGCAGTCCAGAAAATCGAGGTAGGTGTCCCGGTGTGCTGCAGTAGCAGCAGCAGCAGCAGCAGCAGCGTAGAGGACATGTGACTCAGGACCGGATGAAGGAGCTGCGAGCTGCACAGATCTCCTCTCTCCTCCTCTCCCTGAGCCATCCTCCCCTCACGGAGGATGGGACACTATAATCTCACTGACTGCACGCCGCTAAAGGAGTTACTGTAATCCCTTAACACTGCTTCCATCTGCTGCACCTGCACTACCCAAGAACCTCAACTTTCCCTCCAGTAATAAGCTCATGAAGTGAAACTTCCTCCTGTTTGCATTTATTCCAAATTAAATTTGTACATTAAGAGCATTTATTTATGGAACACAGTTACCTGCATCATCAGCTCTTAAAGGTATACGTAGTTTTAGTTGTGATTATCTAACACATAATTTGAAAATGAGAATCTGAATTATGCACATGAACATTGGGAATATGTCTATGTGCAGTTGAAACCGGATGTTAATATACACTGTAAAAACATTTTGACTTAAAATCTGATCAGCCACATTATTTCTGTTTGCTAATTGTCAAAAAAAACCCAGAACAAATTCTTCCAAGTCAGACGTTTGCATTTCTTCAGGATGTGGTATCACCTTTAAAATGTGAGACTTGGTTAAATGTTTCAGGTCTCCTTCTCACAATAGTTTGATAGAATTTTGTCCCATTCCTCCTTACAGAACTGATTGAGTCGGATTTGCCATCTGTTTTGTGAAGTGCACCGGTGCCTCTTGCAGTAAAACAGCACGGTACAGACTGCTGGCCGTCAAGGTGGTTCTGGCCGAGATGGACCCGTATCTTCTCCCTGAGAACAGATGATGTGCTGGATGGTACTGGTCTTTCAAGATGTTAAAGAGGAGATCCGCAGGAGATTGGTCCCGATTATTTTACCACTGCCCTCCCTTGTTGTTCAGCTTTAGGACCCGACTAAACGTCTGTCTAACAAACTTTGGACAGCATTGTTCTGAAAGTTAATCACAAGCCTCTTTAGGTGTTCGGCTCTCGTTAGCTTCCTCGGGTACAAGAGGTGCTGCTGTCTGGATTTGCAAGTATCTCAGATTATTTATTTTATTCATGGTGTTAAGAAATAAATTGTGATTTGAGCACCACACTATCAATTGCTCAAACTCTTCCATGTATAAAGACTCATTGTTTTTGGCTGTAACTATTGCATCATCTGCAAACTTGTGATTGGATGAGTGGGAGTGGAGCAGTGGACCGAGCGCACAGCCTTGAGGAACTCCTTTGTTAGTCCATATGGTGGTGGAGGTGTGCTCTCCTGTTTTCACGCTCTGGGAGCGGTTGGTTAAAAAGTCCAGTATCCAGTTACATACTGGGATGTCTAACCCAAGGTTGTTCAGTTTCACTAATGGTTTGTTTGGTAGAATTTAATTAAATGGCAAACTAAAGTCAACAAACATCTTTGCATAGATGTTTGTATAATTTGCAAACTATATAATCTGTCAATCTTTTTATTTATTTATTTATTTTTTTTGCTGTTGACAAGGCCTTTTTGGTTTTGCTTTGCACCAAAATAATCTCTGAAAGAATCCGTCTGCTTCCTAAATGGCGTGACACCTACACATTCTCATGCTTTATATATCTGCATATAAATGTTTTAACAAATACGTGTGGCACCTGCAGGCATCAGGAAATTGCTCCCAAAGAAAACCAGATTTTTAGAAGGTCTACAGTCCTCTTCTCGATGACTTCACCGATTTATTTTATTTATATTTCCTTTTGATGTCACACAAGGAAGCGATGTGTTTGAGGCGTTGTCTTAAAATACATCCACAGGTTTGGCTGCAGCTAACTCAAAAACTGTTAACGAACCAATCTGAGGCATAATCATTCAATTAGTAGTTTTAGTAATTAAAATTAGTAATCTTATTGGCCTAGGAGAAGTAATATAAAAACTGTCAACAAACAGGCATAATTATGGCAGTAATAACAGATCTACAAACAGGAAGAGTTTTTGGTCTGATTTCATGTCAGACTGAGAGAAAAATGATGTTTCTAAATACTATATTTCAGATATTTCTATATACAAATATCTGGTTAACAAATGTTACTGACAACAATATACTGCTTACTGTAAATCTGCCCATTCATTATAACTGAGAGACACTGGATTACCCATGAAGAGTGCTGTGCACTCCAAGCACGTAAACATGAGGAGGTATTTACATGGCTTAGCACCAAGGTCAGGAAGAAGGGACGGCAGCTCTGTGTTTTCACAATAAAAGCCTGCTTTCATTTACAACAATATCATATATTTGTGTCTCTTAAAGATGTAAGGTCAGTCATGCAGTGGTGATGGAGAAAATGTGATTTGTAATGGTAATTGTGCATATATTAACTTGAAGGAACATGCATGGAAAACAATTAAACATACTTCAGGGATAGGTGTTTTCTTTCAGATGCAAGTTATGTAACACTAAAGGTAGAAAGCAAAGAAATTCTGAATCATAATGCAAAATTATGTTGAGGAATGATTTTGCATTATAAAGCTGTTGTTTTAAGAATTGAATGCATCTTTTTTAGAACACATTCTTTACTACTTTTGGATCTATTAGACATTTAGCAGATATTAAAACAAAATAAAACTACAAATGCTCTACCTGAATACTAGATTTCCAGTTTTAAACCTCATGATGTGCTTATTTCTTGTCCAAATGAACTTAAGCTGCCTTTCTAGATCGAAGAGCGAATCCTTTCCTGCTTCTAAATAAATAAAAAGCAGCAGATAATATCGGGCTACAATTGTTGACCGGATTGTTCAAATCACTTTAGTATGAACATAATTATTTGTTTTACCTTTTGTCTTGAGGTACCGTGTACGTTAGTTGGAGCTGCTCGCCTTTTCTCCAGAACAAGAGGATCCGCTGTAGACGTGCCGCTCTGCCTGCCTGCATCAACCTCCTGGATTTATCCCACTAAGCCTCTCCGTCTCCAGTGGGTCGCCTCGGCCACACAGAGCGACATTCACAGTGTCTTTTCTTCAAAAAACACTTCAAAGAAACAAGGTCGGAAATGAAAACAATTCACAACAATTATCCCGACTTATTGGTAACTTTTGTTCAGTCAAAAACATGATTTTACATTTATTTTTTCCATGATGTTTGGCGTTAGTGTTGCTCCTTGTTCTGCTTCGAGGAGTTGAAGAGAACAGAAATAAACATCCAGACGTACTGAAACAATGTTTCTTTACTTTATCGCCCATTCAGCTATTTTCTTGGCAGCAGAGGTTTTGGATATAGTAAAACATTTTAACTCCCTACTTTCAATTTTATTGCAATGTGTTTTAGTTAGCATGGGTGCAAATTGTCTTCATTGCACCTTAAAGAGCGCCTACAACTTCACAGACACAATGTGAACTCAGACTTCTCCTTCTCTGCAGTTCAACCGTGGAGACTTGATGACTGATTTCTCGCAGATGCTCGTCATGTCGACTCCATAACTTAACTGTGAGTCAGTTCCTCCAGGCCAGATTGAGAACCTATTGCTTTTTCTGTTTATTCATGCGATGTTGACCTTAATTGTGTAAATGGAAAATAGAAAAAAAAGAAAAAGAAAAAAAAAGAATAATTCTTGTTGGGAAAATAAGTTTTACATCAGATCTTGTGGTTACAATGTAAAAACAGTGGCATAGACAAATTATAAATGAAAAACTGTTGTCCGACTGTTCACTGACGCAAACTTTCAGGAAATACATTTACAAACCTACAATTCCAGTTTTGTCTTTGTGACACAGGTCTGATTTTATCAGCATTTACAAGCCAGGTGGCTCACAAAAAAAGATTCTAATCTCTTTGGGAGGTGTAACATTTTTGTGCAAATGAAAAAAATAAAGAATAAGGAGAGCTTCTTATAGACAAATGATAAACGTAGCGTACGTGTAACCAAAGTCAACTTATTGCAGGTGTTATGTCCTGTTTGCTTGAGAGTTGAACTTCAGTCAATACAGGTAGCTGACGTCCGTGGAGGAAGCTTTCACAGGATTTCAAGACGAAGCATCTCTGGTCCAGAGAGCTTCCACGTTTTCCATTACAAAAAGTTAATTTTACATACAAACATTCTGGTTTTTCATCCTCGTATTTTAAAACATTCTAGATGTTAAGAGTACACAGTATTACCCTTAACCCTTCTTGAACAGTAGTAAGTCCTACTATCTCTTGGATCAACCAGTAATGAAACAATGCCGGAGTTAACTTCCGGTATCTGGTTGTTTTACTACTTTTGCGGCATCTAAATACTTGTCTTACATGTCAGACCTTGACTAGTTTCATAGACTAAATATTGGGTCTTTAAAATAGTTTGTGCACTTTGGGGATCTTCGTTTTGTTTGTAACAGTATCTTAAAATGTGCTTTTTTACTTCCTTGGCATTTTAGAGCCAGCTTAAGGATTGTTGGTTGTGATCCACCTAAAGTAGACTGACTCTTTATTATTGATCAGTGCGGTCACTACGTCTAAACCCTATCAAAGACAAAACGTGGTAAGTTAATAAAAATAAAATAAAAAAACAATGGGAAAACTACTGCATTTATTCAGCATCATAAGGCTATTGAACATTTCACCAGACTTATCCAGAAAAACCTGAAAGCAAAGTCCATATTATCAAAGACTGTATTTGACACAAAAAAAAACTGTATAAGGACTTTACGCCAATAAAAAGCTGAAAGTGGACAAAAAGAAAATGTGGTGACAACAAAATTTATTTTTTGACACACAACCTACATTATCATAAATAAACAGATTAAAAATCCTTACCCACATAACCCCAGTCATTTGTGTCCATTGTTGGAGAGCTGCCTGAAGATGAATCACTTGTAATTTAGCAAGGTTCAGATTTGCTGTACAGTATTACTCGCATCGCTAACATATTGCTTGAAATCGTTACACCTTAAAATGTCTATAAAAAACGTTGAGCATGCCACTTTAGAAAAATATCAAAATAGAAACAAACCCCTCCCCCCCCCCGCAAAAATCTGTGCCACTCCAAACGAGCGAGTCCTCACTTCTGCTAAGAAAACAAACCAAAGTCCCAAGCATTTAACCTTGCCGTTAGTTTAGCGCTCACGAATTTAAGACCGGGTTAAACCGCCCTGAAGCGAGTTACTTTCCTCCAGCTGTCGTCTTTGCGGCCGTTTGAGGCGGGCTATGTGGGTGCACTGCAACAGCCAGCCCTGTATAATGGACTGAAGGATCAAAAATCTCATAAACGATGGTTAAAATAAAAAGAGACGTAACTTGAGAACACGATTCGGCCGATATAAACTCATATGGGTTCGTAGGTAAGGATGGAATATAACAATTGCGTTTCTGAGTTCTCCTTTGAGTCAAATATATGGCAGTTAAAACAAATAAAAAATACACTAAATTTGGAGTTTCTCTGTAAATTCATGACAATGCTGAAAAAAGATGCCAAAAAATAAAATAAAAAAAAGTATT